CCCGGCCTTCCTGCCCACCACCCTTTTATCTCCCTCCCAGCACAGGGCTGAGGGGCTAAAGGTCACCTGTGGACCACAGCCCCAGTGCAGAGCTTCCCTGCCCACACACAGCACGGCCTAGGGAGCTCTGGTGGCCTAGTGACAAGAAGCTGTGCTGCAATCTCGAAGCACATGGTTCGAATCCACCAGTCGCTCCACGGGAGAAGCATGGGCAGTCTCCTCCCATGTGATTTTATCTCTGCAAATCTGCTGGAGGGTCAGCTATGGGTCAATTCCAACTCGTTGGCACACAACAAACACAAATTGTTGTGTTGGATGCTAAGCTGACTCAGAACAGGCCCAGGTGGGAGGACAGGTGTAGCAGGTCAGGGCTGTGGCCGGTGCCAAGCTGACCCTGGTGAATGGGGTGCTCACAGCTGGGCTCCCCACATTCCCTGATCCCCAACCCTTAGGTCAGCTCTGCACATTCCAGGCTAGTGTGTAGGACGGTGGCCTCCCAGCTGCAAGCACGTGCCTGCCACCCACCCCCCTGCATGCCAAAAGGCCAGAGCCAGGCGCCTGACCTCATTGACCCCGGGTGATGGACCAGTGAGAAGCCAGGCCCCCGCAGAGGCCGCCTGTGCCCTGGTACCCACCCTGACCCCACAGCCTAACCCCAGCCGCCTCCCCCACCTGCTGCAGTGTTCTCAGGGCTGCCAGCAGTCAGCTCAGAGCCCGTGTCCCGCCCAGTTCAGTCCTAGGTGGCCCCTCAGAGGGTCACCCTGTCCCTGATGCACCGCTGTCCCACCCGGCTCGCAGGTCGACCAGATGCTGCAGTTTGCCTCCATTGATGCCGCAGGCAACCTGGACTACAAGGCATTGAGCTATGTGATTACCCACGGGGAGGAGAAGGAGGAGTGAGGGGCCGCCCAGGCGCTCAATAAACGTGGACGCACGAACCTGTCCCTGCCAGGTTCCCACACATTAGTCTGCGTGGGGAGTCTCTTGCTTGGAGTGTGATGCCGGGAGAACCCTGTGGGTGCATTCAGATACGGCCTTCTTACAGGTGGAAGGTTTGTGGCAATCGGCAGGTCTTGTTAGGTGCCATTGAGTCAAGTACAACTCATAGTGTCAGTACGGACCATAGTTCTGAACCCTGCCCGACCCTGCGCCATGCTCACACCTCCCGACACACTACCACCCGTTGCAGAAAATCACCGTGTCGATCCATCTGGTTGAGGGTCTTCCTCTCTTTTACCAACCCTCCAGCTTTCCACACATGATGTCCCTGTCCACCTTTCCACGCATTATGCCCCTGTCCAGTTTCCAAGCGTGATGTCCCTGGAGCAGGGCTGTGGGCACTATTTTCCCACTGCTTACTTGACATCACTGTCCCACTTGGGCTTTCTCACGCTAGTTCGAGCTTTCCCATCATTCTGTCTCACACCTCAGGGACCAGGGCAGAGCGTGAACGTCCTTTTTCCATGATCCAGGGTGTGACTCCCCTCACGTGGGGGAAGGACAGTCACCCCCCAGCACCAGCCCTGTGGTCCTGTGAGACAGAGGCCTGACGTGCCCCGACTCCCCAGCCCCTGCGCCTGCCCTCACACCAGCCACCGCTCCCACAGCACCCTCGACTTCTCTGGTGGGTTCAGAGCAGGTTGCAGCGGCCACACAGAACTCACGGGCAGTGCTCATGGTTAAGAGGTTTATTGGGCAAGTTTGGAGTTCCTGACCCTGAGTCAGGACGGACTCACAGCTGACCCTCCAGCAGGTTTTCAGAAGCCGTGAACCGCATGGGAGGAAAGTGCCTATCTTTCTCCCACGTGGCAGCTGGTGGGTTCAAACCGTGTGCCTCGCAGCTGGCAGCGCTGTTTCTTACCAGTAGGCCACGAGAACTTATTAGGGAAGCTGTTGCAGTTGCGTACCTTTGAGACGGAATTGATTCAGATGACCCTCCAGCAGGTCCCCAGAGACACAAAATCGCACAGGAGGAGACCGCCCATCTTTCTCTGGGGAAGCAGCATGTACTTTTGAGATAGCAACTCAGCTTCTCACCACTAGTCCACCAGAGGTCCCGAGTTCGGGAAGTAACGAGGTATGATTCAGGATCAGGAACCACTCAGGACACAGAAATTCAACAGGACAGTCCTCAGGCAGGCCTCTGTCTGCCTCAGTGAGGTCCCCTGACCTTTGCCCTATTTGGACACGTGTTCTAACGCTCTTTCAGCTGCCAATTTAAATGCCCAAATACCCCACTCCATTGGCAAGCGTGGTCCCAATGGTGTTTGACGTTAAATCCATGAGTTAATAAACCCAGCTCCTTTGACAAGGATTCAAAGGTTACCCACTCTGCCAGCGAGCCACCTGGCTGAAGGTACCCAGCCTTGTTGCTCTGTGGGCCAGGGCACCCACCACTGTCCTGTGTTACCTCTGTTGCCACAGTTCTCACAGTCTCACTAGCCTCCTGGGTCAAAGGGGTTCGGCACAGGCATCCCGGGCCCAAGGGCTGCAGCGAACTCCAGCCTCCTCTTCCCAGAAAGCAGTGAGGTCTCCCTTTCCTGCCTCTGGATGGTTCGTTTTGAAGCTGGTGGAATGGTCAACCTGACTGATCCTCGTGGGGGATTCCATGATCTGTTTCCACGGTCTGGCTCCACAAGGAGGGAGCTCTGGCGAGTCCTCAGGGAGCTGGGCTGGGAACCCAACGGCGTCTGAGGGGCATCTCCCAGCACTGAGGTGAGAAGTGGCCTCTCGGGACCTCCAGCAAGGCTCCCCTTCATTCAACGTCCAGGGCCGCTGCTTGTCCGGAGAGGGTGTCAACACCAGCATGGCTGCCACGGCCAGAGGACTTAACGTTCACGTCTCTGGGGTCCTGGGGCTCTGAGGGGTCAAAGATCCCCAGGGGTGGGGCCAAGACAGTCATTGGACTCTCCAGTAACTGTCAGCTGTGGAGGCAGAGCCGGGGGCTTGGGGTGCGACTGCCAGGAGGGGAAAGGGTCAGCGTCCTCCTGGACACAGTTCTCCTGGATGGATGGAGAGGCTCTGGCCTCGACCTGCAGACGCCGGTAGGGGGTGTGGAAGAAGAGTACAAACACGCAGCAGCACGCAGTACACAGGCCGGCCATCAGCAGCAAGGACGCTGTGGGGACAGAGCGTGTCACTCCTGCCCCTATCCCAGCCATGCTGGCCCCAGGGACCAGAGCCACAGCCACCCAGACACCGAGCCCCCAACCCCCACCCCGGTCCGCAGTCACCACAGCCTGTTCCCAGACTGACCCCTGGACTCTGAGATTCTAGGACCTTAGCCCCCCAAGTCGCTCCACCCCTCACATCTGTCCTACCTGGTATCTGTCCTTCTGTGTCACTCTATCCTTGTATCCCCTCTCTTCTGTCCCTGCCTGTCTCTGGTCTCTCTCTGTCTGTCTCCCCCGTCTCTCTGTCTCTCCCTCTCTCTGTCCACCTCTGTCTCTGGTCTCTGTCTATCTCTCCCGGTCTCTCTGTCTCCCCCTCTCTTTGTCTCTCCCTATCTCTGGTCTCTGTCTGTCTCCACCTGTCTCTTCTGGTCTCTCTGTCTCTCCCTAACTCTCTGTCTCTCTCCCCCCCTCCCTCTCTCTCTTGTCTGTTAGTTGTGCTCTATATCTTTCTGTCTCTCTGTTTCCTAGTCTCTCAGTCTCACTCTGTCCCTGTCTCTC